TGTAGATATAGAAAAAAATATACTGTTTCCCCTTTCAGCTAATGTTAACATTACTACTAAAATCACATGGCCCATTTGATGTCGAAGATCAGATCTTGAAGATCTTTTCGAGATCAAACAGACGTATTACATCTTAATACATTTATCCACATGACTTCATTTCCGTCTGATATAGCCGGTAGAAATGGGATTTGGTAAATCAAGCTCGTCGAATCCAAAATTCGTTTGAAGAAACTTTAGGGGTCACGACATCTTTCATGAAATAGTTGTCAAAGGTTATGGTACAAACCTTTGACAACTATTTCATGAACGACTTCTTGTTGACAGCCCTTTAAACATTTAAAAAAGCTTTTGGGATTACAATAATTTATTATTGGACAATAATATATATTCTTATATAATTATTGTAATAAAATAATTTAATAAAATTTGTAAGCTTCCAAAGAGGGAATGGAAATCGTATCTTTATGTAACGTATAAACAAAACTATAGACGGAGTATTGGATGTCCCAAAATTTAATTTAAAAAAATCAATAATTTAAAAAAAATATATTAATATCACCTTCATAAAGTTATTCTTCATATTTTTGTCTGGTTTTAAATGAACTATTAAATTTTATCTGAAATCGAAAAAAAAATACTTCAAATAATGTAAGTATTGGCAAAACTGATTTACGTGTTTTAATTACCCTTTGTGATAACGTGTACCCGTAATCAAGATGATAACTTTTTTATCATTTATTGATCATGTAATTAATAAATAGTGATCTGAAAGGTTACATGGAGCGTAAAATTGCATTTGCAGTTGCAGGTCAGCAATTTCACGTCTCAGTGCATATTAAGTGAACTAGTATGTGTAGAGTAAAATTTAATCTGTATTTGATTACCTACTAATTGGCTAATCGATTTTCGCTAACTTGATCGAGATTACATACTTAGGAACCCATAGGCTTAAGTAATATCAAATCTACAGCTAAAGACCTGCTTTAACACGATCCGTTCACGATTTAATTTGAATCTGATTCATCCGCAAATAGTCGTCGGTCTAAGGCAAATAGATAAGCAAATAGACGGCGGTATTCATATGAGGATAGGTTGGCTGTAAGTAACAAGCATTTTAGAAGACTTGATATAAAAAATACGTTTACTCCATCAAAGCATATGTAGATACTAGATTCTGCGGTCATATGAGCGTTGGTTGTGCTCTGTTATCGCTTAGCCGCTGGAAAGCTCCGGGCTTTGCACTTGATGTAAGTGCAAAGTCCGGAGCTTTCAGGTGACTAATTATTTATTTCATATGTGTTAAAAAATAAACATGTTGAAAAACAAATCATGAGCATTGAAGACAGTTGTATATTTTTTTAATTTATAATGTAATATAATGTAATGAGATAGTAAATTTTAGTAAAAGTACAATATAACTAGATAGTCACAACTACAAAAACTTTTAAGATTATTTATGTACAGGCCGTATAAAATGTGCTTGTGGCTAGTCCGTATTAAATTGGTATAAATTTTCGTAATTTTCAATAATGTACAAAAAGAGTTATTAATAATGAGTGCAGTCTAACATGTTCAGAATGTCTAAGTCGTGTGTATATATCAAATTAAGCCACTTAGGTTTTTGCCACTGCACTTATTTTAAACTTTAATAAAATTTAAACTATAAATAGGTATTTTTACATTCTATAAAATAAAACAACAAGTTCGAAACACAGATAATATATTTTCAGATATAACATCACGAAAGGTCAAAAATAAAACTCGCCCCTGTGAGGAATAAGAGTCGTCACAAATATAAAACTCTATATAAATGTTCAACAAGAGAGTGATTAGCCTTTAAAATAGTTTTAATTATGTTGCGTTAGTGGTTTAGCTTAAGTAACGCAAACTGAAGACAAAACTTTTGCGAGTAGTGATGCAAGAATTAAATGAGCATGTAACAGAATACAAACCATTAGCTCTTTATAATTAAACAAATTATTTGTTTAAATTTAATTTTACTGCTCAATTGCACATTTAGTGGTCACATTTGATACCCAGGTCTTCCATAAGGATCGATTTCTTTTCACCAACTACCTTCCTTCCTTTTTAAAGACTGAATATATACTCGTTTGACTGTGGCAGAATGTAGTCGTCTTCAAAATGTTAGAATAACAATAAAAGTCTGAATTAAAGTTATACTTAAGAGGAGATTCTATTTTGAGATTCAACATATTCAAGCGCACTATGTATAAAATACATTTTCTCGACAATACAAGTCGATTATTTACGAATGCAGAAAAGGGAATCGAGAAAGTTAGGCAAAATGAAAGACTGCAATATTGATAGTTTGTATACTTGAATTAGTCCAGGTACATCTTGATCATTTTATTATTACATATTCTGGCAGATAATAACATCAAAAGTTGAGATAAAAATTTTGGGTATTTTTAAAATATTTTGTCGTTACATCTCTTACATATAATAATTAGTAAATGTATTTTCAAAAGCAATCGGACGTGATGCTGTTCATCTTTTTTATTGCTAAGTATTTGTACAACACAAGCAAAAGTTTTGTCTTAGTGTGCGTTGATAGGCGAATAATACCAGTGCGATTTAAGAAGTCTGTATTTATCAAATACAATCCTGTTAAATTTAGCGTAGTATTTAGATCCTGGGCCTCATACAATGATTATAATGTAACAATTACTTTAACTGTCGAAAGGGGTCAGTACAAAGCTTTGCCATTTTCTAGTGCTACTACAAGATTTATAAGTAATATTATTGCATTTACTAATTTAATTTACTACTTATATAAACATTGACTACGAATGTTTTTAAGAAACCTACGTAATAAATTGTTATTGTTCAATGTAAACGGATTTTTTTAAGAAAACGCAAGCGAGTTACCTTTTGTATAGATATCAAATAAGTATTATCAGTAGTTATTTAATCAATATGACATTCCGTTAAAATACATATCTTATTAAAAGCATAAACAACAGTTTCAGTGCATTTAAAACCATACTTTTGTGCTGTAAAGATTAAAAAAACTTATCATCTACATATTTTTAACAAGCTATATAATTCTACAAAATTTTTATCTACCAAACTTTTAAATTCTAGAAAAGAAGTATGACTAGGCATACATTCATAAAAGAATTATTATATTTTAGTAAATGTCGAAACAAACATGATTTTTTTTACTACGAGAAGAACCTGTTTGATATTTTTTTCTAGTTATGTAGGTCACTTCAAATACCTTAAATTACTTAATGTGTAAAGTTACCTAAAATGAAGTTAGAGTAAGGATTATCTTTGTAAAACATGGTATTCTATATTAGAATATAATTATGTTACTTATGTAGAAGTCTTTAAAAGGGATCACAGTTTGGAAAACTAGCTCAATACATTAACGGGGAAATTATTATTCTATCGACTTTTCCTATCCTATGTGAAAACTTCGAAATAATTTGAAGCACACTTGAAAGCTCAAAATATGAAAAAGTAATACATAACAAAATTAAAAATAAATTTAAACAGTTACAGTATATACAAATAAAACTTATAATATGCTTAAATTGTCTAAATTCGTTAACTTTGTTAAATAAACGCCGTAATGAGCTCTAAAAGGTACTTATTTCATAAGATCATTATTTAAAATACATGTATGATAGCATTAAAAATAATAACAGACACCTTTGTCTATAAAACACTACATTTCATAAACATTTATTTAGATTTTTCCTATCTTTAATTAAGTGCCTGAATATTATAGGAAAATAGAAACGGACCAATTACTACACCTACAAAAATATGGCTTGCGAGTTCGTAAAAAAGTTATTACAACTGCAAATACTGTACGTTCAAGTTAAGTAAATTTCAATAGTTAAACAATTTTTTTTAAATTCCATTCTGATCGGGAATAAATAAAGTTAAATAAAATAAATAAAGTTAATTTTAATCAATAAGTCACAAACAACGTTGGAAGGCCTCCCTCTAGGTGGACCGACGATAACGATAGTTCGTGGGCAACCAGTGAACAAATGGCAAAGTGTTGTTCATTGTGACGTTCTAAGGGGGAGGGCCTTAAGTTCAGCTGCGGACGTATTCCGGCTGATGATGAATGGAATCCGAATCCGTAAGAGCAACGTGAAGACCTGTTTAAAAATTGGATTTATATGTGGGTATACAGTGAGGCTTTTTTAAGTGTATCCATTTTTTTTATTAAATTTTAGACATAAATAATGTTATATAAAAAATTCTAAATATTTTAAATTGATTTTTAATTTTAATTTAAGTAATTCATTCAAAATTAATTCGAAAGTGCGTGATTTATACGCAACTCATTTATTTTACGCGCGATCATTCATAACTAACACGCACACAAGTTCATTTGTGTGGGTGAACAGTAAAATTTAGGTAATTATGAAAACCAAACGGTTGATTGATTTGAACGGCCATTTATGTGTAGGCTCATCCGGGGAAGCAACCGGGTCTCTAAGAAGACTGACGTGTAATGAAATACTCAATGAAATCTTTAGTAAATGTTTATCCTTGCAATTATGCTCTCCCCCCTACTGTGTCTAAAAATTGTAGAAGTGTGTATTTCACGCAATTGGTCCAGAATCTAGTCTAAACCTAGAAGATCACAATGCAAGAGTCTAGTCGTAAGTAAGACTACCTTATAGTTACTGAAACAAACATATAAGTATTTTGCAATCGGAATAAAATAAATGTTTCACTTATAATATTTAAATAACAAAAAAACTTGGCTAAGTCTAAACATTATACCGGTTATTTAGACGTAATAACCAAGAACCAAAAAAAAATAATTAGCACAAAATTTCATTTCTATAACATATAAAAAATTATGAATAGAAATAAAAAAATAAAAAGAACCTAAGAACATAAATAAATGTTTTTGCATAAATTACAAGTAAACACTTCAGTTTCTTCACTAGAGACTGCAGCGGGAAAACTTCTTTGTTTCTTCAACAATACGCCACGGCCATTTATTCAACAATGTGCTCTGTGATCAAAACGTTACTGTTACTTTATTATTGTCAAATTCAACTTAATATATCAGATTCATTTGGATCAAATAAAAACCCTTTTTTCAATGTAAATAAATCTGCCTACTTTTTTAATTCGCCTGGTTACTAATGATCTGAATAATATCACTTACCTTGTTCTTCTACAGGCGTGTGTTCCTCATCAGAAGAGTCAAAACGACTTTCAATTAGCGAACTTTGTTTTGATAAAGACTGAAACAATATTAAAATATTTGAAATTAAGAAATCATCATGTACTTCAAAAACTATAACAAATTTCAATGTTAAAATTTGATAGTTGTTTTTGGGGCATTTTAAGCAATGCTTGGTGCATCTATTGTTATGTCCTTTAAAGCACACAAACTATTTCAAACATCGTTTTAAAACTATAATTGGAACCAGAGATGGCCATTGCTATTTGAAATTTTTATAGTGCTAAACTCTGCACTTAGGGTGAAACATTAAAATTTGTAGAACTTTTTTAACAACAGTTTGTGCTCCATTAGGAATTTTATCGTTGAGCTCTATAGCTAAGGCAGTGTCATCCTTTTAAACTAAATGATATAAATACTAGTGGTAGTTTTTTTGACGTTTAATAAGAGCTTAAGTTAAGCCTATATTGAAGAAAGATATTTTGACACTGAAATAAAGATTTTCAAATAAATGTCAACATACCTTGTTGGAGCGACGTCGTGGTGGTGAAATTTTGTTCCAAAGGGCTTCTAGTTGATCAAAATGTTGCGATTGCGCTATTGCTGCTTCTTCGGGACCGAGGCTCACCTATAGTCCGAAAATGTAATCACGATTATATTTATGAAAGTTTATCATTTTATGTCTCTCTTTTTTCTCACTTCATTGGTCGAATGTTCAGGATTTTATCGCGTTTAACAAATGTTGTTAGTTTAATTTACGATATGTTTTCTGTGATACAGGCATGCAGCTTCTGCTATTACACGAGATAGATAAACCAGTCAAAAGAAGCGTCACTGACTCGTAGAAATCTAATGTCAAACATAAGTATTAGTACTTTATATTTTGTTCGCCTAGTCGGATAGCTGGGACACCAATCTCCAAATTGTTGGCAAAGCAACTGGATCACTTTGGGTGGTATCATTTGTACGCTTTTGTAGTAAACACCAGACGGATCGTTAAATTATATAGAGTTCTCGCAATATACAAGTATTGTTGTAAATTACCAATGATTTTGTTGCTAGCCCCTCATTAGGGAAAAATACTAAAATAACCTTGAATTAATCTAAGCAACCCTTTATTATCCCCTTCTTAGTCCATTGTGTCTTTAGTTCTTAAAAAAATGTAAGTAAATTGACGAATGTTTCTTAAATTGCGTACCTGAGAACCCAAATCCTTATTCTTAGCCTCTTGAATTTTTGATATTTCCTCCATTGAAGCTGATACGGAGAATCTAATAAAGGCAATAGAAAAAAATTATCAGAAATTTGCAACAAATTAATTTTTAATTTGACGACTTATTGACTACTGTATAACACCTTGCTCCCGTAAATATTGAAATAGAATAGTAACAAAAAGACGAAATACCTTCTTTTTAAACGTTCATCCACTTGTGCCATCATGGCGGCTGATGTTAGGTGTCCGTATTTCTTCTGCCACGTATAGGTATCAAGTGATACTTCTTTCTTAAGTAACCTTCTCATTGGCCGTTTCGGAGCTAGTGGTCGAAGTTCTAGAAAATAAAATGAAAAATGATTGCATTTAAGTTTTGACTTCATACAAAAAAAAGTATAAAGCACTGTCAAATCTAACCGTCTATATCTTTTGTCGGTGCGGCATATGTAGGAATCTTAACATATGTGGCGGGAGTATTATGCAGGCATATGATCGGTAAGCAACCTGCAAAGTATTGAAAATATTTATAGAACTTTTTTTAAATAGAAATATGATTAAACTATACCTCGTACTAGCAATTACCTCTGTCTAGTAGATGAACTACAATACGAGCGGAGTCACTTGTTATTTGAAATCCAAGTAATGGTACATGGAGGGCTAATGAGGTGAGAGCTAAGCCTCGTTTCGTCTCCCATATTATTAATGTTTTATCTTCAGCTCCTGTTTTGAAAAACAATATGTTTATAAGACAATTTTTTAATAAGGAATACCTTTTGTTAACCTTTAAATAGGATTGAAAGAAAAAATCTAGAAGGCTGACGAATGTACGAACCTGATACAGCGATGGTGCCATCCCCAGTAACCTTAACACATGTCACTTTGCCCAAATGGCCCGAGAGCAGATGTATGTCTGAGCCAGTGTTAATATCCCAAACAATCAAGTTGAAGTCCCAAGATCCTGACACAACTTGAGTCTTGTTTGTAATAGAGACGGCGACGCAAGTAACTATATCCGTATGACCCACCAGAACCTAACGTAATTAAACAATACGTTTTAATATTAGATAAACGATAAGAGCTGTTAAACACATATTATGACATTATAAAATTACCGATTCTCATACATTTTAGAAATTTATGAATACAATAAAATTGTAACCTGTGATAGTTTTCCTCCGTCTAACTGCCACACTTTGAGTGACATATCCATGGAGCCAGTCACCACATTTTGTGAGTCGGCTGTCAGAGCAAAGCAGGTGATTCGCTCTGCATGTGACACAGAACGCCTTTCTTCACCACTATCACCACCAGTTAACGCCCATATACGAATAGAATTATCACCATCGGACAGTACCTATTTAGAAAATTTATTCGCTCAATGAATATGTTTTTTATATCTTAGCAAACTTGTAGATGATCACTTGAAAAGAAAATTCCAGTAATTCAATAAAGAAGATACACTTACTGCAAACTTCATATTCAACGTAACATCGATACTAGCGGATGGACCGTTTGTAGAATGTAATATGATTCCAGAGTCCACAAGCCAAACGTGAATGTTTCGGGCTCTATCTCCTGACATGGCGCGCCGGCCATCCGACATCATCAATAATGTCTGCAACGCTGCGGAGTGGCCCTAAAATGGATTTTGATTTTGTGAAAATATTGATACACTATGAAAACCTTCCTTTAAATGAAAACTTGCATTGGCGTAAATCTACTGGGTAAGGCCGTTTATTTATGTATGTTAATAAATATTTCATATTACAAAATATATTATTATTAAACATACCCAGATAAACGTTTGGATTTCAGTACAACATACATTAGGTTTTTTTTTAATTATTAAATATAAGAAATGAACGAACCTTATAAGTCAATGACGGTGAATTATCGGCTAGCTGCCACACAACTACAGTTCTATCTTCCGAGCCACTCAATACTAGCAAATTATTAGGCGAGAAAGTAACGCATGTGATATGCCCCATGTGCCCGTTTAACGTTGTCTGCAGTTTATGGGTTGAGAGGTGCCAGACACGGACTAATCCTCTCGCGCAACCACTGGCGGCCAACTGTCCATCACGCGACACTTCTAAACAACTTATAGGTATCAGTTCACTTTGTTCTGCCTGTAAAAATTACACACATAAACATGCGTTACAATAAAATCAGGCGTTGGATATTCAGATATTAGTGCGAGCAAAATCAAAAAAAGACTGCGAGGTTTTACCTGTAGTAAAGTTATGTTAGTCGTCGATTTTGTTTGTCGTCTTTTCATTTGCTTAGTTGGTCTGAAGTTTGTTAAGTTATCTTCTGTGTGGAATGAATAAATGGTCACTCTGTGGCCGCCTAAAATAAAGTATTTAGAATTGAGATATAGATTGAATAGAAGGATTTAGATTGAATGATGAAAAGATACACACGTCAAATTTAATAGGAATGAATAATATAATAGAATAAACAGCCAAGTTTAATTAAAACAAATACTTACTTACATTGGTGTTTATATTTAAAATTTAACAGTACCAAAAATTAGGGCAAAATTAAAATGCGGACAAAGAAATTATTTTTCCAAAACATGATATCTCTTTTTCTGGGTGTTAAAACTTTACTGTACACTACGGCAGTGTCCTGTACCTGCAGCAAACAAAAAGTGATCTTTGTCTGCAACCGCCAACGCAGCTAGATCATGAGCAGCTGCTAAAGTTCGCAGTAGTTGACCACTGTGAAGGCTGTATATATAAATGCGCTGATCAGCACAGCCTACGGCAGCTCTGGATGAGTCGTGGGCCACGCAGAAACATTTCACCTTATAATAAAAAAAGTGTGTGAATACTTATGTTCGCACGCAAGAAATTATAATTCTTTAGCATGATGCATCTTGTCGCTTTTTGAGGGTCGGTGTGCGCGCGTATCATAAAAATTTCTCTCTCATATTTTATTACGCCAAAAGAAGTATAACTTCAGTAAACCAAGGAAGATATCATTAATACGACACTACACGACATATACGACCGTTATAAACAAACGATAAAATCTAATATTGTTACAATTTCATTTTTACCGTCGTATTTGGGGACTTATATTTCAAAAGAGAATGGAAGAATTACCTTCGCTTTATGTCTTTTTAATGCGTGCAAGTAAGTGCCTGTAATAAAAGTTCTCAGATGTAGCTCATTGTCCCCTTGTAATGTTATGAGAAAGACGTTATCATCGGTCACGTCCATAGCGTGTATCGGAACGCCTGCGGACACCGTGCTCAGAATTGTGAAGGTTTCGACGTTCCAAGTGATAACGGTCCCATCTTGGGAACCGGTGACCAGTATCTCCCCGTCTTGTATCACTTTCACCGACGTGACCGGCCCTCTGTGATGGTCGATTTTAGTCACCTGTCGAAAGTTATATAAATTACCCTATGATTTGTCAAATAAATGAAACGAAACCAATATAATAGTATGTCATACGCATAATCTAGTCTATTTTACTTGGCATTTGCACATAAATTATGGTCTTTAGTTTAAAGTACGATCAGAATTGAAATGTATCCTATAGAAAAATGTATTCAGAAGTAATACAAAAATCATTCAGGTTTGATATAAGGAATGTTATTTTAATAATATGAAATAATAATAATAATCATAGCACAGTGCTATAGCTTTCCTAGCTAAATGGGAAAAAACATAAACTACCAAAATGGACAACCCAATTCTACCCAGACTTCGAAGTGTAGGGGCTAGAAACTGTCTGACATAAATAAGAATTTTCGAATTTGGAAGAAGTTAGCAAGACTTAGAAAAATGAGTTTTCAAAGCGAAATCTGCCTGCTGGTGCTATCAGAATACTTCAACGTCCGTAAAATGAAATCTGGTTACAAGGAATATTTTTTTTAATACTGACCAAAGCACCGTCTACCAAAGATGTGACGATTATAGCCGAATCCTCTCCCCCACTGATGACCAAAGATCTGTTCACAATCGCAGCAACGCACAGAACTGGCGCTATGTGTTCCCTGAATCAAAATTTTATTTAACAGGGTTTTATGCGTAATAATTTTATAAGCAGTGATATCTTTTAACAAAATTACATGAATAGCATACACATAAGCAATAAACATACAATAAAGTACAGAATCAGATTATTAACTGTAATCTGATAAACATTAATTTTAGGATTTAGGACTGCATTATATTTTTATTTGGATTATGTGTATAACAATCATTTGTGAGATGGTTGTAGGCTTCTATTATAGTATTTTTTTATGTGAGAAAGTGGCAAACGAGCTGGCGGTTCACTTGATGTTAAGTGATAACAGCCTGCACGCAACAGGCAACGCATTTGCACCCGTAGTGTTGCAGATGCGTTGCCACTTCTTAATAATGTGGGCCCCGGCTACCTCACTCACCAGACGAAACGCAGAAGTGCAACACTTCTACTTTAGTATTTATTATGGTATCGTTAAAGGTAACGATAGAATAATCAACTGTATAAAAATAAGCGTAGACAATTTAAACATGGTTTAAGCAATTTTGAGTTTGAAATAAAATTTGTAAGTATCAAGTACTTACAAGACTTTGATTTTAACTGCTAGCGTGTGAAGGTCCCAAACGATGACACTCGTGTCTTCAGAACCAGTGACGAGGTATTGGGATTCCCGGGTCACGCACATGCACAAAACTCGACCAGAGTGACCTAAACAATATTTATGAATGTTTATAAATGAATAAACATACAATAATAATACACACGGTGAATTTTCGAAGCGTTTTCAATACATTTCTGTGATTTTTAAAGTTTCGAAGTTACATACGATAATGAGGGTATGCTAATTTCACTATCATTACTTGGAGAACAACTTTGTTATAAAAATCAAATACTATTCTCAATAACTCAGCGTTTTCAAATTCCATCCATTAATTTTCATACTAGTTTTGACAGAGCAGTCAATTTGCCAAGTTAATGCACTAAGCGACTGCAGTGCGGAGTTTTAGTATTAACATATATATAAATAATACAAACAAATATAAATAAAAACTAAAGCTTTAAAATCTATGTCTCAAACATATAGGGAATTACATTTTACTATAAATTTCAAGCACAAAATATGAAACTGTAATTACATTTTTATTCCAATTATGTGCTGTAATTTTTCTCTAAATTTTAATTGAAAATCATATTAATATTTTAGGAGAGAATTTTTATTGCAATAATAATGCAAATATGTAAAGACGGCGTAAAGACGAAATCGGTTTGTATTATTAAAATAAAATGTCAAGTTTTTTTATTATTAAGAACCATAGTTATTTTCCCGTTTATGAATGGAAATTATGAATGGGGAATTGTAGCAATATGAAATAACAACAACACCTTTAAAGGTGTGGACCCTCGAGTTCGACATAACATGCCAGAGTTGCGGGTCGCCAGCTGAAGGTGCAAGCACGAGGTGTTGTCCCGATGGAGCGAGTTGCAGCAGACGAGCCCCCGCACCGGGGGAAGAACCGCCCACTGACATGACTCGGACCGTTGATGCTATAGGCGGTTGCAGCCTATACGGCATTTAACAAGCATAAATTATTAAATGAAGCAGAAAAGCCGACTGCACTGATTTAGTGGTGGTAGGACCACACAGCAGCCTTGGCTGTTGCATGAATGGGCAGGCTCGAGTAAGTACCATGACCGGCGTAAAGTGGAAGTATAATACTTTCCCGTTTCGTCTGGTGAGTGAGGTAGCCGGAGCCCAATTTTCAAAAGGTTGTCCACGCATCTGAAAACCCTCGGGTGTAGCACATGTCCATGGGTGATGGTATTCACTTAACATCAGGTGAACCACCTGCTCACTTGGCAACTTTCCACATAAAAAGAAACCCGACTGCATTAAAAGTATCACACATTCATCACTATCATCCTACTGCCCTTATCCACCTAGGAGGGGTCGTCACAACATGTGAATGATGTTGTAAGCGGTTTTGGCTATGTTTTATACGACCCGCCGCCGGCCCGACGTCAACCCTTCTTGGGAAACAAACACCCAGATCCGGGAAAATTATTGGTGCGTTGCACAAATACTTCTACCGTGTATGATCGAATCCACGACCCTCGACGCCGAAGCCAATAGCTTAGCAACGGTGCCATCGAGTCACTATCACACATTCCTGTTACAAAATAAAATAAAATAGATGAGTATACAGTAAGCTCGAAGAAGAGTAGAGACTTAACAAGTCGAAGAAGAGTATTCTTAAATTTTATACACACTATGTCACTCCCATTACTGACGAGTAGTTAATGACGTCTCATATGCTATACATTACATACATTAGCTCTAAAAACGTTACCCTCCTTCGGCAATCAGGCAAAAATGTGCCTTTCTGTCAACAATTTACTTAATTATAAAAACAAATGCGCATTTGCACTTTTAAGGATAAAAAAATTATCCATCGTTCATAAATTTAATTTAGGGGTGTGATTGCGGAGCACTTAAAAAGCTCCTTTATCAAATATGAAACACCACCCTCGTAGGATAAAATTGCGAATCTGGAAAATCTAAATAATGAAGTAGCATGATATGTAACAATTCTCAAACGAATTGTAAAATTTTAAACCAGGTTTTTATTCGATGTTAATTACATTTTCATATGGCACATTTTGTTGATTAAATAATACCAAAAACCTCACAAGTCTAGCTAAAACTTGTGTATAAATTAAAAAAAAAAAAACATTAAAATGGTACATATCGATATGTACTTGTAAAATCATTGCAAAAATTAATGCGCATTTTTACCATCCATTCAACGGCACCAGTAAGGGCTTATCGTAACCGTCACACCATGCCATCGCGGCCGTCACCAAAGTTGCGAGCACACCTCGGCGTGCTATGGCCGGTCTTAGCCACGCAATAATCTAAAGCAAAGAATACATAACAATTAAAAAGTAAAGTTTTTTTTGTCATCGTCATTGGTGGGCAAAGGCCTCCCTTGTGCAGAGGGTTTGGGTGTAGGTCACCGTGGATTGGCAGACCGTACTGATGAGCAGGTGATAAATCGACACTTAATATTTGAATTAACAATTTTTCTGCTATGTCAGTGGCCTTCTTTCAAACAATATAGCTTCCATCACTGAGCTACTGTAGATTAGTCCCATAGAATAAAATTAAAAATAAATCTGGTAGAACGTATGAATACGAAATGGAAGCATTTTAATAATAATAAAATCTTAACTCTGACAACTTCTAAAAAATTCTGCCTCTATACACGTAAAACCTTTAAAATATAAAAGAGTTTTCATTTAAAATTGAATCCACATTTTGGAAGCTTTCATGTTTCAAACACGAAGTATTTTATAATTAAAATGACAAGGTAATAAATAGAGATATTGAGAAACTGAAGAAAAAATGGGTCATTTTATTTTATTGCTTTGTTTATATTTGGATACAGTGAAATACCTGAGCTCCTAATTGCATCGGGTCGCGGGTCAAAATGTCACTCGATTTCCTCACTGCGCCGTAGACCAGTTCAACGTCTCGGTCAAGGATATAGCACCGGACATGTTCTAATATGCAGCGCAGATACGATATTGTTACAGTTTGCACCTGAAGACAAAAAAAAAAAGAAAAATTATGATATTAAATCTCAACAACTGCCCTAGACAGTTTCAAATCTCTAATTCATTAATTTATGATAATTCTTAACACTTAAATATTTTTTAATCAACCAAGGTTCGCTTAACATAACACAGTCGCACGAAAAACATCTTCTTTTTGGAACAATGATTCATTTCAGATCAAAGATATGTTTAATAATATATAACGTACAGCAGCAAGTAAGAAGTCGAAATTGCAGACGGTAAGATCCTTCAATTTCGAAAAATCCCCAGCCAGCAAAAGATGCAGCCATGATTCCTCGACATGGCGCTGTGTAAAGGCTGCAGCAGTTCTACTGGCCGAGTGGAATGGTGTGGAATCAAGCAGCGCGTCATCATCATCAACACATCCTTAAAAATTAAAAGATGTTTTATATCTATACAATAATATACAAATAAATTGGTACCGTATTTTCATTAGTGGGTACATAAATTTAACATTATATGCCTATGCTACCTGCCTCATTAAAATATTGAACAGAAGCGAAACTGATTGCCAAAATCTCCAACATTACAATCAACAATTAACTACATAAGTATTTGTAAATATATCACTCACAGATGCGACTGTGAGAGGCTTGAATAAAAACATAAAACTAAATGTAACTTTATTTGGAAGTTTTAATTTTTATGTTTTAACTTTTATTTATATGCATGTAGTATATAATATGAACAAATAATATACGATTATTTCTGATCAGCACATTGAAATTACTAATCAAAACAACTTATTTAGTTAATATTCTAGTGTATAATCATAGGGTTTTACCTAATTCCTGCGCCTCCGACGTATCCGTGTCATCGGATTCATGCAAAAAATTTGCGAAGTGTAATGCGGCAAGGTCCGAATGGGCATCGCGTAAAGCGCTCTGAACGCGAACATAACGTCTTCGCGCCCTTGCTCCAGCCGCCGCCGCACGCCATCGCCACGTGCACCGACCGGATACTACGTTCTCCAAAATTAGAGAATCTGACATGATGAAATTAATAACAATTATAAATCGATCACAGGATATAAATCAATAGCTCAAAGATGTTAGAAAACACTTACCCATCATATGTTTAGTTACGCACAATGTAGAAAAGTTAAAGTTAGCGTCTTGCAACATTATAACAGCTTCACTATTACTAGTAGGCATTAAAAGCTCCAAAAGTTCAAGTTCAGTAAGGCCAAATTCTGAACAAGTAATGTAGCCTAAAACATAATTTAATAAGAATAAAACATTTTATAATTTTAAAGAAACAAAATATGAATTAATTTACAAACATTTTACCTGCTAATTTGCTAAAAGCTTTAGCTCCGAAAACCGTCTCTAAATTATCAAAGGCACTGTCTATATAGTCTCCATAGCTGTGATTATCTGGCGTTTCTTCTATAGCATCCAGTAAGTAATAACAATTTTGAATTTTGAATTTTTCTTTTTGAGCTGGTGTCAATTGTAACTGTTCTAAAGCCACTGCACTGGTACAAATAAGGAAAACATTTCTCGGTAAGGACATAGGTAACCAGGAGAGTCCAGTAACAATATCACATTCTAATGGATTAACTCTGTGTACGTTATCAATAAAAATTAGCATTATCTCATTTTCCATATCTTCACATCTTCTTAATAGACTTTGAAACCAATTGTTTATGTATAAGGGATCGAAACTTGCGTCTTTTGGCAGATATCCTTCGGGAATATTTAAAATTATAGATATTTGTTGGCACATAACTCTGAGTAACTCTAAATTGTAGGCCGATCTAGGAGTAGAGGCCGAAAATCGAATAATTCTCAGAACGGGTCTTGCAAAAATTTCTTCACATTTATAATATAAATGTGTTAACAAAGTGCTTTTGCCAGAGGCATCTGGGCCGTAAATCAGTAGTGGTGGATGTCGGCAACGGTTCTCGTAGTTCTCTTTGACAGTATTTAATATTTTCCTTGTAGTATCTTCAAGTTCTTTAACTGTCACTTTGTAAAGAGAATTGTGCTCTATACATATCCTAAGATGTGTAATATGTTCCAGAAAAACTTCCTGAAAAATATTGTTTTTAAACCATAACTCATAATGCTTCACAAATGTATCTTGATTTATTATGTGCTTTGCGTTTCGTTTAACAATTAAGTTAAGCAATAGTTAGTTTATTTCACTGAAATTGTTACTTTTGTAGTAATAAACAACGACAATAATTACCTGTACAGTCTTTTTTCTTCCTCGTCCTTGATCTGGTTCAGTACTTAAACTATCATCGATCAATCCACTGACAACTGCTTGAACCCGATCTCTAAATGGCGAGAGCTTTTCGTCATTATCTGAAGCCACGTCTGTCCTTGATGAATCAGCTGATGATACCCTTTAAAAAGTCGAAAGTTATAATTATATGGTCTATTTTTATGTAATTAAAATTTTCGTAATATTTAATTTTCACATGCTCACTCTAATCTTATAACATGGTTGTCGGGCAAAGCTTCTTCTAGTTTCTTTTGTAAGTTTTTTAATCTGTTGTATGCTAAAATAGTCAATTTCGTATCATCATGTTCGAGATCAGGAATATCCCTTAAGATAGCTATCATTCCTTTTGGATGCTTACCACTTGATAACAATTCTAAAAGAAAAAAAAAATTGTTAAAATTGCAACGTAACAATTTTAAATGTTATAATCGTTTCATGCTAGAAACAAAAAAATATTTAAAAATTATACCAACCCAATGCTAGTTCGCATTTTATTTCAGTTGGGCTTCGTAATAAATCAGCGACTCCATCTTTATCATCTAGGGTTTCAAGAGCTAGTGCTTTAAAAGCTTTCTCAATTACTGACAGGCGCTTGCGTTGCTCTTCTCGTTCAATTAAATCGCTGAACCTGGTATATATGGATTTTTAGCATATTTTGTGCAGTCATTGTATAAATAATTATTTGTATGACTTATGTCTGTAGTTTAATGAAAAATATTGAAACAATACGACGATTTTCTTAGCTTATTCGTCTTTTAAAAAATTGTTTTGTTTCTATTTCTTGACATGCGTCGTGCGTCATGACATTCTTTTATTCCTGCTTCATGTAGACATACGTACACGTATGTCTACATGAAGCAGTAGTTAACTAATTTAGCTAACTTAAGTAGTAGTTAACTAATTTAGGTAATATAATAAGTAAATGCTTATTTGTAAGACTTGAATAAATTTATGAAGACTAATAGTACAGAGTAAACGGCTTAATATTTGTGTGAATTAGATAATATTTATGCAGACTATGACATTAATACTCGTAAGAGTAACAACGAAGTCCATGCTACAAAACAGATTTCCAGTAGGTACTCCATTTTATATCATAAGATCTTTATAATAAAGCTAAACAGACTAAACCAAAAGCTTCGTTTGAAAAATCATCTATTTATTCTACTTTTCTTTAGATTGAAATTACTTATGAAAATCCTTTCTTTGAAATCTTTTAATTAACTAAGAAAATAAGGCATTTTGAAGCAATAGTATGTATAAGAAAGGTAAGATAATTAAATCTTGCCTTGATTTGATGAGTGCTTTTATCTATTAATATCTGTAGACTGCTCAGCACTCTAGTTTCGTATTATGTGAATATAGCTAAGATGTTCTCATCTGTCGTCTGAGAAGTCTAAAGGGGGCACTGGGTCCACTTCAGTTTACCCGATATGAATGACAACACAAAGTAGACATGTGTTGTCGCAATGCAGAGAGGGAACTGAGGAAGGAGAACTGAACCTTCACAGGAGCGTGCTCATATTGATTAGAACCCTACATAAATCTGTCTGGCTAAAGAAAGATATCCTTTTAAAAAATATTCCCTTTTAAAGATTTCTTTCGCGATACTAATGAAAGGTCCTGGACCAATACTGACACAGAAAAATCATAGCGCCATAAATCGTAGAAGGGAAAAGAAAGGTAATTACAAGCTCTATCGTACCATTTATCGTCGCCTTCCAATTGGTAGGTTTTATCATCGCTAAGCCTGTAGCATGCACGTATAAGTGCCGCTTGAGCTGAATCCGATTTGACGAGTTTTTCGAAAACATCCACTGGAATTTTGAAGGGCAAAACGGGTTGGTACTGTGATGCATCACCGCCGATGAAACACTAAGGCATAAATAATATTAATATACAATTTCTTCCTAATTTTTCTATTATGAAGGAAAATATCAAAAGTATAAAACATGTAATAAAGAAAAGGAATTAAAAATATAACTATTCAGTTATTTTTGCGGCTGAATAATAAAATACTATTAAAATATTGTACATAAAAAGTCTTCTATAATACTTACAAGAAAATACCCAGCCTTCGATGTATTATTACAACAGTGGATTTCTTTCAAATGATATCGTAAAAGTGCGGGATTAGTTTCATCTTTACCGTCGGTACCGTAGTGCATATCAACAAACTCAATCTGAAAATTAAAGATGCCATTAGGAATCGAATGCACAGTAAATATTGAAATTTAAGCTGAATAAACTTAAATTATTAAATAACTGTTTTAGTAAACTGAATTTTTTAGAAAAGCCGAATTTATTTTAATTTATCTCATTATCTAAACTACAAAATTTTTTTTGATTGCTTTCAATATACTATGTAAACGGTGAAATCTAATCTATGAAAAGTTTTTAAATTGTACCTCACGATTTTTCTTCATTAAATCATGGAAAAAAATCCACTCATAAAACAATTCATTTGATAAGTGTTTTATCAGAACTCTTATTCTGTAATATTATTTTAGGTACACATTTTTATCAGAAATTTGGCCTATCCCCCAAAACCATGATGACAATGTAAATGTTGTAGTAAAAGGTGATCTTGCCATAAATACCAAATATTTCAATAACTTATCGCTTTTTGTAGGTAAGAAGAATTACATAATAACAGATATATATCTAGATATAGAATAGAATTTTTAATAATTAGCCCACTAACCCAATTACATGGCAAATCTTACCTCAATATGTCGATCGTCGTATGTCGACTGCAGTTCTGGGCCAACCAACTCAAGGAGATGTCGTCTTTCCTCACGAAATTCTTGTAACAAGGAAATAATAAACAGCTTAAATACTTGTTACAAAAAATCGAATGTTATTGTTAGTGATATAGTGTTTTGATGCGAATAAAATTTTAAAAATTTGTTTTCAAAAGTTTCTATTTTGATGTTTAAACCAAGTACGGACTAAACTGCCTTACTGATTAGTAACATTAGTAAAAAATAATTTAATGAAAAGGTGTTTTAATAAGTTATTTGGATGTAAAATAGTAAGTCCAAAAAAGTAAAATGTCGAGTCGGTGGATACTGATAAAACTGCAAAACATCGGTTATTATAATTTAAAATTATTTTGATTAACTTCATGAAAATATTTTTATATATAATAAGATGAGAAGTTTCTTGAATTAATTGATAGAAAAACTTTTCTTTTCATTTCTTGTTACTTCAGCAGAATAGCGGGCCTTTCAACTAAATCAGCTCAAGCAAATATTTCTTGGCTACTGTATTTTTATGTCGCGTCTAGTACGTCTTACGTAGTGGACAAATTCTTGATCGTGGTGGACCTAACTCAATATTTGCTTTTTGTACAAATTATTGGTTTTCGGATCACCTTCAAAGTGGCAAATAATATTTTTCGCCTTTTTGCGACGTGTAGTATTTCTCTTACACATAACTTAAACCGCGCGACGAATTATGTTTTGCGTATGAATACTTTGAGTCGAATAAATGAGAAAATGTTGATTTTTGTTTACCTTAAATAGAACTATGTAATTGTTGAACAAATAGGCGAGAAAATGCTACAACACCCGTTTATTCTAGAAAATACCGAAAAAATGACACTTACCATTGTATGGCGATGCTATGTAAATCTTTACAACGCGTGGTCCAGGCCACTTATCACACTGTTCAGTGTAGCCTTGTAGTGCTTGCAAAACCAAAGGTTCTGGAGCACTCATCGCTCGTCGTTTCTTCACTCACCTCACCCGGCTTCGGCTACTCCATTCCAAGGCATTCTGGTATTAAAATATAAATAATTACAGGTATATTTTACAATATATGTATGTAATAGCTGTTAACCGCGGCTTCGCCCGCGTGGCCAAAGGGAATTAAGGCCGTTTTCTATGCTAGAGCCACGCAGCAGCCTCGGCTGTTGCACGAATGGGCAGGCTCATCCAGGTAAGTGCCACGACCTCACAGAAGACCGGCGTAAAGTGGAAGTATGACAAATACTTTCGCGTTTCGTCTGGTTAGTGAGGTAGCCGGAGCCCAATTTCCAAAAAGGTTGTCAACGTATCTGCACACCCTCGGGTGTAGCAGATGTCTATGGGCACACTCCACTATTCACTTAACATCAGATGAACCGCCTGCTCGTTTGGCAACTTTTCACATTAAAAAAAAATAGTTTTTCGTTTTACACCAGAATATCTCGCAGATGGTTGATTTTCCCTACTTAGTTGAAACTTATTAAATTATAGCCTATGTGTCATTCTGATGTATAAGCTATATTATTGTAAAGTTTCATTAAAATCTATTCAGTAGTTCTTGCGTAAAAGATACAAATTTTGCCGTTTATAATATGAGTAAGGATAAGGAAGTAAGGACAAACACTTCGCCCGCGGCGTTGCCCGCGAAAATGTGATAGCTCTAGTGATTTCAATATTATAAATAAAATTTATATACTAAAACCTTGATTTGATTGAAAGATGCAGAGTGTGTCGGAAAAGGTTAAGGAAGAAGTATTATTCCGATCGGTTCAGTAGTTTTCGCACTATAACCGAACAAAAACCGGCTCTCCATTTATAAGTATAGAATATATTTAACGTTAAAAACCTTTATCCAAAAACGTTGTAGCTGGTTTAAGTATTGTATATATCCATTACTTTTGTGTAATAAATGTAGCACAGGAACAATTTACGTGGCTATGGAAGAGAAAATTTTAAAATATCATAAATTAACCACTGCCATACCGAGCGCTCACCGTTAAATATTGTTTTTTACAATTGAGCAGGACTTAACATTTATTTAGTCTTTGAAACGTAAATTATAAACGAAAATAAACAAATGGATGGAAAAATTAATATGTAATTGTTCATTATAGCTGAGCACCTTAGTTTTGAACAAAAAGCAGTGAGGTCACTGTCTTAAAAGGTAATCCTATAAGAATAAAACAAATCTCAGCCCAATGACGCTAACACAAAGGATATTATCAAAAATACTCGCGTGTGTCCACTATTATAACTCTTTTATAGCTCGGTTCTCGTTTTCTGAATAGGATTTGCGAGATTTATAGGCGATAGTCAGCATTTAATGCCAATCGTTGCTGCAAGACGAATAGCTGTCGTAAAAGTAGACTTTCATTATATTTTCACGACTGTGAATAATGTTTGAATTTAAATACACATTTTAGATGCATTTATAAGCAGCCGAAGTTAATTAGGGCTGCATATAGTATTGACGTCTTTAAAAAGAAATGAGGTGAGAAGAGACCATATTTAAACATACTTGAACATACTTACCTAGTAAGTTTTACGGTGGTAGGGCCACGCAGTAGCCTCGGCTGTTCCACGTATGGGCAGGCTCATCTGGGTAAGTACCACGACCTCACAGAAGACCGGCGTAAAGCGGAGGTATAATACTTTCGCGTTTCGTCTGGTGAGTGAGGTGGCCGGAGCCCAATTTTCAAAAGGTTGTCAACGCATCTGGAACCCTCGGGTGTTGCAGGTGTTCATGGGCGGCGGTAATCACTTACCGTCAGGTGCTCCTGCTCGTTTGGCCCCTTTCTCCATAAAAAAAGTTATTTTTAAATTATTTCCTATTCCAAATAGTTTATATTTTACTATATGATTATACTGTGGCTTTCAGCAGGAGTGCTGTGTCTTGCCTGTGTGCCGTGAATCGGACAGATGAACTAAACCACTTTCAAAGAACATTTAATAGATTTATGGTACACTAAGAGCCCTGCCAAGAAAATATATTGTGTTCTTTAGCTTAGAAATAATGCAGCTTCGGCTTTTTACTGTTCCTAATCGCTTGAAAAATATAAGGCACTTATAGTTATGACAATAAAGAATTTCATTTGCAGTATCAATTTTTATAAGCATAATACCAATTCATAAAAAAAAAATTAACCCAAACGCGTTAGTTTGTTGCAGGTTCGCCTTGACTTTGAATATTAAATATCAAGCTAAATCCGGAAATTAGAGCATAGCTGATTAACGGACGAATATTTAACGCGATAAGGATATCTTCGCCCACGCCTCGCATCGTAATGAGGTCACGGGCTTACCATCGCAACGCCTGTGAATACAGCCTGTGATCCAAAACATAAAATACTTATGCGGAGACGATATCATTTATTATTTTATATACATTTATTTGCAAGAGTGCGTATTATTTACATTAGTATTATATATCATTTTATATAGGTCAATTTATCTTTATACTTCAAATAGTTATTTCTATACGATAATCTTTTTTTATTAGAGCTACGCTGTGGCTTCCGTATTGTTCAGTACTGTGACGAAGTTTTTATATTTTTTGAAATTCATCTGGTGAGTGAAGAAAGCGTAGAAGCTCGCCTTTAGAATAGTGTGATTATCACTAGAAGAACGGATTACGCGTTTGCCTCCATCCCTCCTCTTTCAAATATCTATAACATAAATCAAACTTCATAGGCAGGTTGCCAAACTATCTCATACAATGACCAGAACAAGGTTTGGAGCTACTTTTTGTACGTTATTGTACAATCTCGCTCAATGTCTTTTTTTATTTGATTGAGTTTACGTTTCAACAACATAAAAATGTTAAAGAGATAGTAGACGTAAATAGTATCTGTAGTTCGTGGTCGTAATTTAACTAGAATATTTCTAATAGATTTTTTCCATGTTCCCTTATTCCTTCAGATCCTTGTAAAAAACACCAAATTCTATGAACACACCACCAGTGCAAGACAGTTAACGGATACTGAGTTTATAATTTTCAATACTTTTTTAAAGATTACTTTTGGATGTCCAACACCATGATTGCTGCAAATTAGTCACTTCCTGTCACGTGTAATTTTTGAGAAGCTAATAGATGGCAGATAATCAAAGTATCGGGAAACGAACACAGATGGCAAATCAAGAGATTCCACATTAAGAACATTATATCTATATATTTAATACTTAAAAAGTAAAGAAATAAAACGCAGATGAATAACGAACATACAGTCTCGAATGATAATTATGAATTTTAAAAATATATATTATCTCTTAAACTCTACTAAAAAATGGCGTGCTAATCTCATTGCCAGAAGTGCTAAACACATGAAAGACGTGTTGATTTTTACAAGTAATTAGTTCTCGCCAATATAGCGGCAGATTTGCGATATGTGGCGGGTGGCAGGAGAGTTTGGGATAATTTTGATTGAGTGTTTGCCAAGAAAAGTAATATGAAACCCTCATTATCATATTTTATTCCGTGTGTCAAAGGTTAAGACGGCCTAAATTTCTTAATATTTAAAACATGTGTTTTTCAAATGTATTGTTATAAAGTTGACCGGGATTATATTAGTACAATTTTTAGGAGTTAGTCTCTCCTGTCCTCAATGTATGACATAATATATATCTATGAAGTTTCCAGCTTCGAACTTATCGTATTGTAAAATAAAATTAAGACAAATACTTGTAAAAAGTTATCAGTTCATACTTCTTTTTCTTTGTATATAGCTAATTTAATGTGATAATATAGAAGTACTATACTAATATTGTGACAATTACGTTAAAAGTATCTTTTAATTATAAATTTTGAAAATTAATAGACATGTTAACCATAATGAATCTTTGGTAACCATCAAATATTCTTTTTATATCTACACGGAATAATGCTAAATGTGACGAATATTCTCGGACTTATGTAGGTCAAGTGTTACTGGTGAAATTTTGCTGAGTTTGAAGAGTTCTTCAATGATATTAAGTACATTGTACAGTTAGGGGTCTTTCTTGAGACGTGTATTGAAGTACGCCATTGTTAACTAGAATAGAAGGGGCGACTTGAGACCTTAAGTTGGTCTCAATCGGAGTTTGCGAGAATTTTATGATTCTTATACATTTTTTTTTTTTGGTTTGAATGTTAAAATAAAAATAACTTTTGAGCAGAGACAGGTCATTTGTAAAATGCGAAATGAACACCTGATTAGATGTCTTCAATTTCGAAAGAATTAGAAACAGATTTGGGTCATTGCAAGTATCAATCGGAATCCAGTAGCGAAGCCTCCTTAAAATTTAACTAAAATATATGTATAACAGCTGCCAGATATATAACAACATATATAACAATAGAGGATACGGATAAGACCGCGCAAAATAGCACAGGCGCTCAGTAGAAACTGTCGGATGGCCAAAAAGTAGAAAAAGCAGACCTTCTAATGATAATGTTCTATCGTATCGAGTAATTTATCTCTAAACTTTGATTTCATGTTATTACTTTCTATGATATGAAAATAAATTAAGATTCCATCTCAAATTACAGCACTCCTTAGACAATAATTTCATGTTAAGAATAAAAGAAAAATGACCTATGCATGTGACCTAAATATCCAAAAGTTTCAAAACTGGCCTACGTGTATTTTATTGTATTTCGTTTTTATTAAAATATTTTGAACTTACATTTTTTTTGCAAAGACAAAAAGTGATATTCGGTCGTCAGGCTAGATTTCTAATGATGTCCTTTTGTCACTTACAAGTAATTTAATTTACTGATTTTAAATATATTTTACGCTTTTTGCGTTACAAACGTGTAAAATGTTAAAAAGTAAAATTCTAACACGCAGGTATAAGCATTTCTATTTTAAACATTATATATTTATGAATTTTGTCTTTTTTTTATTCTAAATTCCCCGATATTTTAAATACTATGCAGCACTCATGACCCGGGCTGCTGCCGGGCCGGTTTTTAAAATTATAAAATAACGTAATAA